AGCATATTGGGCACCTACCGACCTGGGGAGTTCATCTTTCAGTGTCCTATCTTTTTGCCTTTTCATGCTGTTCATGGGGTTCTCAAGGCAAGAATACTGAAGTGGTTTGCCATTCCCTTCTCCAGTACTGACAGTGGTCTCAATCAAAAATATTCATTGCCCACCATGTCTTTTTATACTGTGTATTATAGGACTTGGACGCAGAAGACCCAGGGCAATTTTCTTTTGCCTTCTCTGATTTTTTTTTCTTTATTTGAAATTTTTTCTTATCTTCAATGGCTTAAGCAAGACTTATATCAAAATATTAAGCAAGATCTATATAAAAATGACATTAAGACCTATATCAAAATGATATAGAAGAAGTGATGAGAAGAGATAAAGTGAAAGAATTTTGTAAATCAAACAGTACATGCACATATAAATATCATCATATACATATATGTATCATTAATTAACCCATGTTGCTCAAAGTCTAAGGGCTTATTTTTATCCATCAGTGCTTCCTACTACTACTAATTCCCTATATTTTTAATTTTTATTTTAATAAAGCACGGGATAGACACAAATTTACCTTTCCTTTTCTGAAGTCTACAATCCTTGTCATCTAATATCAATTTTATGAGCAGATTCTGAAGTACTTGCTATTTATTAAATTAAAAGTCCTGACCCCTTTATTAAAGTAAGAAATAACTGACTTTGGCTAAGGGCCACACTAACATTGCAAGAGCTGATAATTTGAAACAAAGAAAAAAACAACAAAAATGTTAAAGGAGACTACTGTTTCTCAATGCAACATTATAAATAGTCTGGATTTCTACCGCAATTAAAAGGCTTCACTTTTCAGAAAGACTCTTTTATCTTGAGAAAAATAGAGGAAACAAGTCATAAATTTCCTGAGATGAAAGAACATAAACACTGTATTACTCCCCAGTATCCAAAATGGTGAAATAAAATGGATATAAATGAAAAACATAAATATTAAATGGAAATGGTACATTTTCAGTGACTATTTCTTATGATTGTTGCACTTATTCAGCATACTGTACTCTCAGTTAAATAATATATGTTGAACTGGAAAAATGAGACCAAGGACAACTAGCTTGTTGAAGCCAAATTCAAGAAACTGTACCATCAGCAAGTAAATTCTACAACTGCTTAAAATATTGAAACAAAAAGAAGAAAATAAATGAAAAAGTCAAACTCTGGACTCTATCATATGCTTTCAATAATACATTTTTAAATTATCAAATCATAGATAATATCAACCAAATGGTCACTTTTTCCAACAAGGAGCCACTGTGTAGGCAGACCACTGACTTTCGCAAACATTTGTCAGTCATTTAAGGGGCTTTCCTGGTGCTTCAGAGGTCAAAGCGTCTGCCTGCAATGTGGGAGACCTGGGTTCGATCCCAGGTTGGGAAGATCCCCTGGAGGAGGAAATGGCAACCCACTCCAGTATTCTTGCCTGGAGAATCCCATGGATGGAGGAGCCTGGTGGGCTAGCAAAGAGTCAGACACGACTGAGCGACTTAACTTTCACTTTCACCTGAAGGGGGTTAGGATCCATCAGTTATTTGTATATATCTTAGCAAGGCATATATTTGTATATATCTTAGCCTACCAGATAGGCTTACAAAAAGCTTACAAAAAGCTAGTCACATTCTCACAAGGCAGGTTTTATGATAAACACAGCACAAACAGAAGCTACCACAGGCACTCAGGGGCAAAATCCAGCTGGGTTTCTTCATCCCTAATCCCAGTTTGAGCTGCAGGTTTTTTCCAGAAAGAACAGTAGTTTGATTTACTCAACACTCAGCAGAAGTCAGGGTGTGGTCATCCTCCTCTAAATAATATTACAAACGGATTTTCCCTGAACTCTTGCAGCAACAGGATCTCAAAGTAGTTACTGGTAGGAAAAGGTGAGATTAAGGTCAAAATGTCCAAAAAAATTTCAGAAAAGCTTTTAAAGACCACCCTAGAGACGATGGAGGCAGGGGCATTACTAAGACCAAGAAGGAAATACAGCACAGAACATGAATATTTTTCAAGCTTTCAACACGAAGCCCCAGTAACTGTTGAACATCTGGTTTTGCCAGTTCTCCTGCTGAATACTGACAATTTCACTCCGAATTAATCCAGTACACTCATAACCGCTTCAAATACAGATCAATCACATTTGCTTCATCACCATCATCATTGCAACAAGACTAAGGGTAAGTAAGCATCAATGCAGAACCAGTGGTTTCCAAAACACTACCAACTAGAGAGATCGGGAAAATCACATCCAGGAAGACTTTCAAGGCAGGGCTAACCAGGAGCGTGTGCAATAAATTAGTAACTGTATCCCTTCTCCCGGGCTAGCGGATACAGTGCTAATTGGCCTCTATCTGCTGGTAGGCAACCTGGCTCGTCTGGTCTGTTTGCACCCCACCACCCCCTCCCCCGCTCCACCCCCGCCCCATCCTGGCTACTCAGAAATGAACTTTACATAAACGCCCACACCTGGGACTCCCGTCATGAACGTGGGTCCACACTTCCTTCTTGTTACCTTCGAAGCATATTCTGTGCGCTTACGAGGAAACGAAGATCCAAGCTCACACAGGGGCCCTGGCACTAACCAGCCATGTAACTTTCATCTTGCTCAGCGCGGGCACTTGCTCCCTGAGGGCAAGGGCGTGACTCGGGTGTTCTGAATACTCACTAGGCAGGTAGTGATTGGGACGTGAACTCTTCTTCGTGGCTACTCGCAGGCCGCAAGCCTCTCGAAGAGTGGGGAAACAGGCCAGGCTAAGGACGCCTGTGGTCACAGAGCCGGTAGTTGGCAGGCAGGAGCCTCGAAGGCCAATCTGAAAATCTCAACCTGAGTCTATAACACGGCCCTGAGCTTCTGCTTGGTTTACTCGGCCCTAAAATCCCGCAGACTTTCAGGGTGGAGGGAATCTGGGCGGGGGCGCTCCCTCTCGGACGGTTTTCCCGTCAGCAGCCTCGGTCGATAGAGGAAAGCGGCGGCCCCACCCTCCGCCAGCTGCAGGGCATCGCGCCAGGCACATGTTGCCTGTTCCCAGGCACTCCCTCCTCCGCGGTCACCCCTCTGCCACCTCCGCCCTCACCCCACCTCCGCTGTGAGCCTGCACGCCCCGCCCTTGGGCCCGTGGGCCGGCTGCTCACGTGGACCTCCACCTGGGCAGGCGGCAGCCAATGGCAAGGCGGGGCCTCGCCTCGCCACGCCCCTCTGTGCCACGCCTCCTGAGGGAGCAGTGGATCCAGGGTCTGCGCGCACCTCCCGCCCCTGCCCGTCCTTACTGCTTTGCTACGAGCTATGTGGGGGTGGGGGCAGGGGTGGAGGTGAGGAGTGTCCAAGCAGGCCTGGATGGAGGAGGGGGCGTTTCCTCGGAAAAGGAGGGAACTGTGTGTCACGGTCTGCACACTTGGGGATTGTTAGAATGAAGTCAGAAAGAAATGCTCCAAATTTGCCCTTTTAATGTCTACATGCTAATCTCTGGAACCTTCACTAACTCCTTCATATCACCACGAACCTCAACAATTCCTTCAGAGCAGCACACCCACTCTGGGGGCCAGCTGTCTTCCAGTGGGAGTGGCAGGCTCTTTGAGATGCTTTCGTCTGTCCGAGGGCACCCACCTGGCCACCCTTCTGCCTTAGAGGCTAGTCCAGGGCACGCTTATAACTTGAGTGACACTTTAACTTCTTCTGTTAATGTAATAGCACAGGTAATCTTGTGCAGTTTTCTTGTGTACGGTTTTATGAGGGGAAGTATAAAGTTACACGGAGGAGACAATGGCACCCCACTCCAGTACTCTTGCCTGGAAAATCCCATGGACGGAGGAGCCTGGTCGGCTGCAGTCCATGAGGTCACTAAGAGTCGGAGACGACTGAGCGACTTCACTTTCACTTTTCACTTTCATGCGCTGGAGAAGGAAATGGCAACCCACTCCAGTGTTCTTGCCTGGAGAATCCCAGGCTCGGGGGAGCCTCCTGGGCTGCCGTCTATGGGGTTGCACAGAGTCGGACACGACTGAAGTGACATAGCAGCAGTAGCAGCATAAGGTTACAAGAAGACCGCGGTGTTATACTCAAAACCTGAAATATGTGCCTTATATCAGTTTTTTATACTCTCATATCGGACACGACTGAGCAACAGAACAACCACAACAATGCCATGGGTCCCTCAGTTAAGCACATGTCTGCTGAGAACTAGCTTTTTGTGTTTATTAATGTGGACTTTGGTAAGATGGAGCATTCCTGATACAAGACTTAGGGAAACATATGTCCCCCATATTTAGCAGCAGAGAGTTGTGCTTGATTATGTGATCTGGTAGACAGTTGATACCTGAGTGCAAATACTATGGGGAAATGGCTGTATCCCCAAGTTTCATTTTGTTAATCTAGAATGGCAAAAGGATTAAGGAACACTGAGAATTGAACAAATAACAAAAAGCGTTACTGCTTTGAGGTCTTAACATTCTGGTTCCTCTTTGCCACAATCTCCCCCTCAAAGCTTTTAGAACTCAATGACACTTCATGGATTGATTTTTAAGCATATCTTTCTTCATAACAGTTGAAAGAATGTCTTTCCTACATTTGGATTTATATGGCTGAAACTAAAGTTTTGGCAGAATGGAAGCACTGAATGGGTTGTGGGGGGAGACAGAGTGGTATATTAAGGAAACAAGAATAAGAACATCCTGGTTAGTGGAGATAACAGGAAGAGCTTAGAGAAAGAATGAAGACCAAAAAAAGAAAAAAGAGAAAAGCACTGGGTGGCAGATCTCACAGATGATTCTGAGAGGAATGATAAGCTGCATTCTTGAGCATGAGGATCTTACACTGCTTGAGGTGACCAAGAAAACGTTACTATTTTCTCATCTGAGGAGTCCTGAGAGTTCTGGCAATAAAGTAGAAAAGATGTAGGGAGGGGTGAGAGTTGAGAGCCACAAAGATCATCTGGGATCCAGCAGACCTAAGTGCACATTGGTTTAGTGTCTGCACCCTACCCCCAACTTGAAAAATCGAAGACTATGGGGAAGGAGTAACTGCGTAAGGTAAGCAGGACTCTGCCTGTATCTGGATGCTGTTCTGGAAATTCCTGGAGCAGGAAGGAAGGACTTCCACAGCCAGGAAGGACTCAGCTGCTGTGTCTAATTAGGCCTGCAAATTGGAAGGCACTCGGTAACTTCCTGAATGATGAGATCCTCAAGGTAAAGACCCTGTGTACCCACCATCCTGAACCATCCTGAACCTCCCAAAAAGGATCAAAGATCTAGTTTGGGGGGAGTCCTGTGGCAACCTGTAGCTCTCCTAAAATCTCAAGTTTTTCAGACTACTTGCTGAAGGAACTGTATATTTCTGAAGTATAAAGCCCATGGTTGAAGGTTTTCAAAAACACACAAAAAAACTTGTTTTAGTTCACTCTGGGGTGGGGTGGAGAGTCTCTTGCAATAGATGCAGACTGTTCAACACAGAGAGGTATTCTGAGAGAAGTATTCCACTGGATACATTATTCTGTCAAAACCTAGTTCCAAGATTCCTATTCCAATTCCCTTCAGAGCCCTAATGCTTCCTACTTCCTGTGAAACATAAAAAATTCACTGTAAAACTGAAGAGCATTTTCATTTTCTACCCTGTGAGGCTGAAAAGGAGGAATAAGTGGAAGGGAAAGGTAGGTTGTAACAGGGAAGGTAGAAGAATAAGTCTCAAAAGCTGAGATTCTAGGATGATTGATTAGGGGGATGTCACAGTCTAGTTAGTCTGTGCAGAGCTCAAGGTTAAGCCCAGGCTAACAACAGCCCAGAAGAGAACAATCGGATAATTCACTAATTGTGTTTCTGTTTACATACCCTCCCACCCTCACTTTCTAGGCTACTGTAGGTTCTATCCTGATTAGAGGCCAATTTCTGGAACTAGACAGGATCTTGGAGCTCATTCTCCTTATCTGGCATGTGAGCCAACAGGTTGAGCATTAACAGGTGACGTGGCCAAAACCACGCACAGCCAACTAGTTGGCAGAGCTAGGATCAGAACCACTCTCTCCCTCTTTGGAGCCCATGACTCTTCCTGTTTGTCCCCAAAACGGCCAACATTATTTTCCCACCCTGTATGTGCCCACACACCATTTGTCCACAGGCAGAGTCTTTTTCCCCCTGACTTGGTTGCTGACTTCATTTACCCAGTAAGACACAGTGGATATGACCTGCTTGGACTTCCAAGCTCAGGCTCTAAGTGGTCTGGCAGCTTCTGCTTCCCGCTCTGGGAAGGCAGCCTCCATGCATTCAAGAAGCTGGGGTTACATGGCTGAGTGACAAGACACAGCACATAGTGGCCAGGCCATGTGGAAGAGCAGGAGACACGTGCGGGAAGCCTTCTCGGACATTCCACCCCAGTCCAGCCACAAGCTGAAGGCAACTGAGTGACCCCCACCAAATCCCACAGAGCAGAAGACCTACCAGGCTGAACTCTATCCCTTACCTTACCCAGAAAATCATGAGAAGCAGACAGCTAAAAGACCCCTCCATCCTTTGCCTTACTCTAGTCACTTAATTATCATACTTAAGAAATCAGGACATTAGACTTATGGTTAGGGTTAAGAATTTCAGGGAAACTGGTCAACCAAACACTTATATGTTTGTCAACAGCTCTTTATCAAACCAAGTGGTTTTCTGCTTCAAACCAGATACTAACACTGTAAATTACAGTTTATTAATTTGCTGGTCAACCAACCCTGCTATAGGTATATTAACTTTTACTTAGCGTTTAAGAAAGTTTTCTCCAAGTCCTAATGCTCTGGTCTCTAATGATGCATCACAGACCACCAGAAAACTTAGTATCATAAGGTAACACTACTTTGGGGAACTTTCCTGGTGGTCCAGTGCTTCAGACTCTGTGCTCCCAATGCTGTGGGGCCCGGGTTCAATCCCTGGTGGGGGAACTAGGTCCTACATGCCACAACTAAGAGTTCACATGCCACAACTTAAGAGCTGGCAACTAAGACTCAGTACAGCAAAAGGAAAAAAAAAATTTTTTTTATTTAAAGTAACACTGCTTTGCTCAGTACTTTGCAATTTGGGCTGGGCTCAGTAGCTCCAGCTGCCTCAGCTTCACTCAGCATCAGCTAGGGATGGTCTCTCCAGCAAGGTGGCTTCAGGCTCACTGGTACTGCCATAGGTGTGTCTTGGGGATCTCAAGAGAAAGTTCCGAGAAAGGAATCCCAACAGGAGCTTTGTCATTTTGTAAGACTTGGCTTTCAAAGTCAGGTGACACCCCTTCTGCCCTGCCATTGACCCATCCATATTCCAGGAAATGGGACAGAGAGGCCCCACCTGTTGACGTAGGAATGCCATCGTCACACTGTTGGATGGGCATGTGTTTGGAAAACACAACTCCGCCTCACTCAGCGCCTAACTCTGCATCTCAATTTCACCCTGAGGATAAAGCTTAATAGAAAACTAACTCCAGGAGCTTTGACTTTTAAAAGTTAGTTCTACTTCCAACACCAATGAAAGTTAATTCACTTTTCCTCCAAATGTCTTGGTTTGGAGGCTCTAGTTTATTTTCCTTCTTTCCCAGGTTTTTTGGAGTAAAACTGGGGAGAGGGGACAGTATGAATAATCTACTATTATGGCTGTTTTGTAAACCTCTCACCTCTTAATAAAAATCGATTTATTGCTTACAGTTGAAACAAGTAGGATATTCATGGCAAGCCTGAGACATTATGAATTTAATCTGGTTCTGGCAACCACATCTTTTAAAGAAAATTCGTGTTCTATGCTCTGTAACAAGCTGTGGATGAAGACTAATAACTTAAATTTCTCCATCCACATCACCTGCACACAGGCACACAAACCACAGTCATTCAGTATCTTTTATTCCTAATGGATTTCTAGCTTCTCAGCTCAGCTTACCTGGGATCTTAAAAAAAAAAAAAAAAAACCTGGGAATGCCACACCAAAGGAATGTGGTACCTTTTAAACTGTTGCCTAGCAACACTCAAATGCTCAGGACAGGAAGCAGTGTGTGCAGTTTCTCACTGTAAT